TTATCTAGCCAGCATAGATCTTTAAGACTTGTGAACTTAAAGTTGCCAAGTTTGTAGAGCTCTGTGCTAAAATATTACACATTAGAGGCTCTGCAGTCATTTGCACTACTCAGGTGACCCTGATGACACAGACAAACCTCCAAGTGGCCTCAACGACCCTCTAAAAGGATGCAAACAACCTACAAGGAATATAAATCCTTCCATTCCACACCATTCAGTCAGAGCTGAAGAAGTTTCTTGGATGAGAAGCAAAACATCTTCCCAGAAAAACCAGAAAGTCAAATTTCCTCATGAAAAAAGCACCTTTGGGACAATCATGGCCTGGATGACTGAGAATCTCCAAAGGTACTTGGGATTAGAGGTTAAAGGCACTTGGGATTAGAGGATGGGGAAGGCATATGATTGGAAAAAATGAATGATCAAAAGTTCAGGATTGCAGTTTCCTTCTTGGGGAAACAGGAACTAACATCAAAAGGGAATTAAGAGAGAAGCATGAGCAACTACTTCTCTATTTATGTGTGCAAACACAGGGGAGTCAGGGAAAGTGGGTGAGGTTGCATTCAACCAGAGAGACTTACTAGAAGGCAGTGCTCTGTACACCACCTACCAGCAATAAAAAAAAAAAAGTACCTCTATCTCAGATTCCCACACTAGATGGCGGGAACGTTTCTCATCTTCGATCAGCTGCATCAGCATTTCATAGAGATGGAACAGTTTCTTTTCTTTCTCCACAGGCCCTGCCTGAGAACAAACGGACATGAAAGTAGATTTATGAACCCTAAAGTAGATTGAGCAAAGTAGATTCAAAGCAGATTCAGAAACAAGTCAGGCATTTGCCGATGGGGAGGACAATTTACTCAGTGCTCCTGAGATTGCTGGACCGTTTTTTTTTTCCCCTTTCTGTGCACCTGTGTTTTTGAAAAAATATTTCCATTTGATCATAAAATGTATGTTCTACATTTTTCCCCGTCCACTCAATTAGGTCTAAAAGTCATGGCCCGCATTTTTAGCCTGATGCCTTAAGATTAAACCAAACTGTATAGCAATAGCCCATAGACTTATATACCACTTCATGTGGGAAAGAATAACATTATCACTTACATATTGCTTCACAGCCCTCTCTAAGCAGTTTACAGAGTCAGAGTCGAACTCCTGACTGTGGGCAGAGTTTGGTTGCAATTCTGCATTCTAACCAAAAGGAAGGAAGGAAGGAAGGAAGGAAAGAAAGAGGGAAGGAAAATAGCAATAGCCCTTAGACTTATATACCGCTTCACAGTGCTTTATAGCCCTCTCTAAGCAGTTTACAGAATCAGCCTCTTGCCCCCAACAATCTGGGTTCTCATTTTACCCACCTCAGAAGGATGGAAGGCTGAGTCAACCTTGAGCCAGTCAGGACTGAACTGCTGGCAGTGTGCAGAGTCAGCCTGCAATATTGCATTCTAACCATTGCAAAGGATGGATGGATGGAAGGGAGGGAGGGAGAGAAGAAGGGAAGAAGGGGGGAAGGGAGGAAAAAAGGAAGGAAAGAAGAACAATAGAAATAGCACTTATCCTGTATACCGCTTCATGTGGGAAAGAATAGTCAGTTGCCAAGCATCTGGATTTTGATTATGTGACTGTAACAGATTAAGAGTTGGAAGGGACCTTGTAGGGCATCTAGTCCAACCCCCACCCAAGTAGGAGACTCTACCATTTCTGACAGAGGGCAGTCCAGTCTCTTCTTGAAAGTCTCAAGTGATGAAGCTCCCAGGACTTCCGAGGGCAACTTCTGTTCCACTGGTTGATTGTTCTCACTGTCAGAAAATGTCTCCTTATTTCCAGGATGAATCTCTCCTGGATCAATTTCCATCCATTATTCTTGTCTGGCCTTTGGGTGCTTTGGAAAATAGCTTGACCCCTTCCTTCTTTCTGTGGCAGCCCCTCAAATATTGGAGCACTGCTATCATGTCTCCCCTGGTCCTTCTCTTCCCTAGACTAGCCATGCTGAGTTCCTGCAACCGTTCATTGTATGTTTTAGCCTCCAGTCCCCTAATCATCCTGGTTGCTCTTCTTTGTACTTTTTCTAGAGTCTCAACATCTTTTTTATAGGTTGATTATTCCCACTCTCAGAAAATTCCTCCTTATTTCCAGGATGAATATTTCCTAGATCAATTTCCATCCATTATTCCTTGTCTGGCCTTCGGGTGCTTTGGAGAATAGCTTGATCCCTTCCTCCTCTCTGTGGCAGCCTCTCAAATATTGGAACGCTGCTCTCCTGTCTCCCCTGGTCCTTCTCTTCCCTAAACTAGCCAGGCCCAGTTCCTGCAACCGTTCTTCACCATGGAGATGCTGTAATAGTTGTAACTGTGAAGAATAGTCATAAGTCACTTTTTTCAGTGCTGTTATAACTTTGAACGGTCACTAAATGAATTGTTGTAAGCCGAGGTCTACCTGGAATGCCAAGTATGAGATACCCCTGTACAGGGGAAAACCCAGATTTTGCTTGACCTTTCTATACTTCCTCAGCCATGGCAAAACTGAGTAATTAACCACTAGATACACAAAGCCTAACATCTGCTTTACTTTGTTTCCTTAAACAGGAAACGTCTAGCATAGCGGTGCTCAAGGGAAGAAACGTCTTATGAATTGTAAATTGTGGTCTATCTATACTTATCTGCTCCAGAACCTCAAAACAGGTGATGGATTAAATTCACTTAACAAATGTCTCACTTAACAATTTAAATTTCTGTCTCCTTGTGGTCGTACATCAAGGACTACCTTTAGTTACGTCTTGCAACCATTCATTTAAATCCCGCCCATCAGGCCAGCTTGCACCCACCACGAGCCGCGCAAATACCATATGCTTAATTCACCTGATAACTGATGCACATATCTCGGCTCATGATAATCTTATTTCCCTTGCTGTCCACATCGGTATGCTTATTAAACTCCCTCTTGGAAGGGGTGATGTAATTCTCCTTGCAGTGGTAGGTCAGAACGATCTTATCTTCCGAGATCAAAAAAATGCGTTCGGCCACGTCTTCGTCAGCTGGTTTGCTTGGGTTCCTGTGGAACCTCTCGGTGATTTTCTGGAAAGGATGCAAGTGGAAGAGGGCAAGTGTCAGTCTGTGCTCCATTCAAAATCCAAGAAAGAAATACTTAGACTCCATAGATTAGAGGAAAGGATTCTTTTACTGAAATTCGAAGTGGAAGCTACAGGTAGGATTCTGAATCTGAGAAATTAGGCGCGCAGATCACATATACAAAGCGATGGAATTGTTCCCACCCCCCAGAGTTCAAAAGACTCTTCCAATAAAAAGTTCTGAATATGATCATGTGGGCATCTTCAGGTGGTGATGAAGCCTCTGTCCGTTGACCTTGACATATTTTGATAAGGATTCGCAGTTGCGCAGAGGAAAGAAGGCTAAGCAAGGAAATAGAAAGTTAAGAGCAGGAATTTATACTCCCCCCCCCACTCTTCATTTATACAACACAAGAATGTAAGACCTCCAGCTCTCTTCCCAGACGCAACCCCTCCCCCCGTTACTTATGGCAGCCAAAAGCAGTAGAAAAGATCTTGAAGGCTGACAGCAAGGTAGTGTTAAGCCACCAATATTTACAATGAGTCAGTTGGGATGGGACATAGAGAGTTACATAGCTATGCTGGTATTTGGGTGCACATCAATAATTCAACTTTATTGTCGGTATATGAGTCTTCATGAAAATAGGAGATAGCACTAGCACTTAGACTTTTATACTGCTTTACAGTGCTTTACAGCCCTCTCTAAGCAGTTTTACAGAGTTAGTATATTGCCCCCAACAATCTGGGTCCTCATTTTACCCACCTCAGAAGGATGGAAGGATGGAGTCAACCTTGAACTGGTCAGGATCGAACTCCTGGCAGTGGGCAAAGTCAGTCTGCAATACTGCATTCTTAACCACTATGACACCATGGCTCTTAGATAGATATAGAGATATAGATGGATGGACAGATGGACAGATGGGTGGGTGGGTGGATGCATAGATAGATAGATATAGATAAATAGATGAGAGATAGATGAGAGAGAGAGAGAGAGAGAAAGACAGACAGACAAACAGACAGACAACTCAAAAAAGTTTTCTCTGGCCTTTTAGAGCTGCCAGCAGAAAGGGAGTGGTGGAAGTAGTGCATTCTTTAAATGCTTTCATAAATAATTGCTAGGTGGCCGAACTTTCTGACATGCAAGATTATTACTGGAGAGAGCATGACTGATTACTCTTGGCTATGGATGTGTCCCATTGGAGAATATACATCCAGGGGGTGGGGGAAGACCAGGGTCAAGGCTGAAATGAATGATGTGTCTCAGAGTCGGCTACACCCAGGTAGCACCGGCATGTTCATTTCTAATAAACCTTCTTTAAACTCTGAGCAATGTGGCTAGAGACTCATGATTTAAATGGGTGCGGATGCTGGAGTCC